CCATTTTACATTGCATCTTATTTCACGTATTCCGTTTCAAACACAATCAAACCGCGCCTGTGGTTTAGCGGTCACACACACAAGACCTGAGTTCGGTTCCTATATAGGGAGAATTTTTATGTTGTACCGGTATCTCGGTCTTTCTACTGGGGTGTTGTATCCCTCTAAGCCTGGCCAAAACCCACCTTCTAAATGACTTAAACTGTGTCGATGGGGGTGTATTACACCTACACATAACAGCTAAAATATGTCTAAAAATCGCAAGAATGTTGAAAAAAGTGGAAAACTGCTACATGAAACAAGTTGGGTGACTGACTGAAGCTATAAATGTATTGTCAATACGGTAATGCCACAGAGAACTGTAATGACAGTATATGGGCCGGGCACATTGCCTACTACAGGAGGCCCAGATCGGGCATCAAATGGCAACATAGCAGTCGTCAGAAATTCAGTCTACGCCACACGAAGTTAGTCCGATCCAAATTATGTTTGCATTTATACAAAATGCAGCGTTCCGTAGCGGTTAAACCGTTCGCAACTGAATCCAGAAGTCCCGCATTCGATCGAAATAAGAATTTCATTGTTCCCTTTACTATGGAGTATTTTAGGTTCTCTGAAATTGTTTCAGTTATGTCGAGGACGTACGATAAATCAACCTACAAAAAACAAACAAGCACCCCCCAAAAAAAAAAAATAAAAAAAAAAATTAGAATACAAACCCCAACAACAACAAACAACCAAACGACATACAGTCAGTGCTGTTGACAGAAATAACCACGAACAAACACGGACTGACTCATACTAACGGTTGTTAATTTTAAAAAATACCCGAACTAAACATTCAAACCGGCAATTCAGATCCGTTTAATAGGACAACAATCAAAACGTGACTCGCCCGAAAGTTCAATGAGCGCAAATGAGAATGCGTCATCCTCGGATGGAGGGAGGGAGGGTTCAAAGCGACCCAGATCTGTCGTCAGCTCGCCGAGGAGCTGGTTCCTATGGAGACAGTTGCATTTGCCCTTTAAACAAATGCACATTTACTTAACTGGTCGGAACCGCTAAATCGAGTTGGGTCTGAAAGTTGGAGCGGCCAAAGCACACAACCAGACAAAAGTCGTGTTGAATAGAGTTTGAACTTCAAATGACTAGATCTAAAAAGTGATTTGCCTTCAATAACCAAGGAACGCAGAATGGTAACGCAGGTGAAAACACACGTTTAAACTTATCTGACACAATTTGGAGAAGGAAAAAGGAAAAACGGTTCAGGGGTGAAAAGATCCCAACAAAAGCGGTATTATCCTTTCCCTTAAGTCAACAAACCAAAAACTGTTTCTCTGTTTTAGGAGTTTAACGGCACATGCAACACAATGAGGTCACATAAGTGCCGAAGATTTGATATGTTACAAGAGAGTAACAAACATAAAGAATGAAGGAGGGGAGATAAGGACGATAGATGTATAATGGAAAAGAAGGAGCAAGCCACACCAGAACACCTGCCAACCCCCCACAAAACCAAAATCAAGTTCTCACCCCAAAATTTCGTTAGTAGTACAATATATTTTCCCACCAAAAAAAAAAAGTTCGATCGTGAGGGGGTATATCAGACTTTTCCAAAACTCTTAAGACATCAGGCCATTTCTAACAGCTATCCTGCAGAATCGGGAGGGGGTCGCATGAGAGTGAGAGTAGATCGTCAGTAATAGACCTCTTCACGGTAATGTCCGCCATACTGTCCAGGGGTACTCAGGGTTACTTCCGGTCTGCAATGCTCCTTTGTTTACATTGTCAACAGCCTTGGGCAGTTGGCACATGGACACTAAATCGGCGCCTAAATTCAATCTAACGTCTAGATCTAGTCAAACGTACGCACAATCTCATTTTAGTATCAGTTGTTAGGCATAAGAAACGCAAAAACTGCCTTGAAAGTGTGTTGTTTGCCTTTGAAAGTGTGTTTTGTCAGCTGCCCTCTTTGCCTCACGCAGGCCAAGATCTACTAATCATGTGACTGTACTGTGTGTTTTTATAT